TGTAACAGAATACAGCGCTAATGTGGTACAGGCTCACCCTGGCAGCTAAAATTAGTTAGTCCACCTACACTTTTCAAAGATTCTACTGGCTAGCTTTTCCAGAGGATCAGGCACCATCTCTCGCCCTGCAGTTTGTGTAAAATCAGGACCACCTCCCTGTTGCACACTAGATAATTTGACAAGAACATGTTTTTGTGCCCACGCATGATCCAGATGAAATTTTTGCTGCAGGGCGATTTGCTGATGCACAGAGCCAGTATGACTGATTATGGAAACAGGGCCTGTGTTTTAATGATAAATTTCATATTTTCTTCTGCACTGCAATGAAAATAGATGCAGGATTCTGGGAATAAAAAGTATGGGAAACATAAGGAGAACCTGATTATGCATTGATAAGCATGCTGTCAGGCACCCTAGATATTACTTCTGCCTGAGGCTGTGCAAATAACTAATTCTTCAGTTTGGTTGCTGAATTGGAATTAAAAAAAACCAGCAACCTGTTACCCACTACCAGCATGAAGTCCAACACGGTTTGCTTTATTCAAACATAATGTTGTATTTTTTCCCCTTTTTTCATAGATGCTTGAAACTAAACATAATGGACAAAACCACTGGAGGGTTGCTGTGGGTGTCATCCTTTTACCCAAAGGTACAGGAGGTAGTACACATACCCAAAACGTGTAATATCTGATTAAATTGTTTTGAAGGGTGACCTGAACACAGCAGGGAATTTGAACCCAAAATGCCCTAAGCAGCAGTTCAAAGTATCCTGCACCGAGACTCGCAGTATCTTTTGCTGACACAATTTCATTTTCCATGAATAGTTATTAATCAAATCTCTGACTCGGTGATGTCCCAGTTACAATACTATACATGTTAAGGATACTGCCCTAAAATACAGCAGACACTTGGAATGCATACACATATACATGCATTCCATTTGTATGCACAATTCAGCATTGCATAAAGAGAATTTAGGTAGCTTCATATGATCTGGTGAACATGTACGGAAGCACTGCAGAGCAACACTGGGGTGCTAGTCTGTCTCCTGGAACCAGCATTACTGCAGTAGCATGGTGTTGTACTAGCAAAGGGAAAAACCCTACCTCTCAGCAAAACTAATTAGACTACCTGGAGTGCCATGCTTCTGGCCCTGAAGCTAACCAGAGCGGGCTGTCTCAGCCCAGTGCTTCCTAACTCCTTGTAGTTTTTAGTGCTTCCTTCAGCTTCTTACGTCAAAGCCTGTAATAAACTTAAATTTCCTGCATTGTAGTGAGGTACATAACTATTTCATGAAAGATGGGTGCCACCACTAAATAAATTTATCCAGTCCCAATGGTTTGACAGACTAAATGTGAATTCATTAATAGTTTTTAAGATAGCCAATCCCCCATACTGGAGACTTTGCTATTCTCCAGTTGTTTTCCCACCATCACGTTCTAATTGTGAGCAAGTACAAAAGTAACATTTAGGAGGGAAGGAAAGATCTAAACAAGTTGCTTGAAAGATGGTCTTTATTTTGCAAACATATTTGCATGTACTTATGCAATTAAAAACCAGTGAAGATATCTAAGCTGTTTTTGTGGGCTTTGGAGGTTTGCATGAAGTCAAACATTTCTCCATCTTTCCTCATATGAAAACAACAGGCAGTTTTCACATCAGCCTGTGCTGCAACAAGTGCATTTCACTGATGGAAATTATACGCTTTATCTCTGAATCCAATGCATGAATTTGCATTAAAATATTCCAGGGCAGGGGGGGAGGGGGATGTGAGTGAGATTCTTTACAAAGTTGGCAAGATTGGGGTAGGAAATAGCTTCCATACATCAGGAGACTAAACAGGCTACAATTCTTCAGCTTGGAAACAGAGATGAGCAGGGTAATGAGAGAGGTCTAGTGTTGTGAGTGGCACGGAAAAGGTTACTGTAGAATGATTACTCACAATTTATCACAAAACAAGAGCTGGAGAACACCCAATCAAGTCATCAGACAAGTCTATGACAAATAAAAGGAAGTTCTCGTTTCAGAGTGCATAATTAGACTGAAATTCACCATCACAAAACTGTGGGGAGGACAAAACTATACACATGCTGAAAGCGAGACGAGAAAAATGGAAAATGGGAGCCTACAGGCCTCTGAACAGAGTGGTCCCGTTGCACTTCAAATTAAGATGACCCCGGAATTACAGTGGTACCACTTCCTTGGAGCACAGCACCACTCCGGGAGCTGCCACATTGGGAATTAATACACGGTGAGCCACAACTTCCTTACTGGTTTCCCCTCTGAATCAGACAGCAAGCAGCCTGAACCAGCAGCAGATCACTTCTTTCTCTGCGCGGAATGCCTGCCCCATTCCAATCCCTGCTTGCTCACTTGGGAAGGGCTGAAGCCCTGCCGGGAGGCTGCCCTCAGGATCCGTAGGGACGTCTAACGCTGGAGTCCTCCAGGGAGCAAGCAGGGTGCCAAAGCCTTGCTTGCTGGATGCGCAAAGGGTGATCTGGAATGAACAAAGTGGACACAGAGGGATGGTGCAGTGGGAGTAAAGGGAGCGCTCAGGTGCTCTGACTGAGCAGGAACAGAACAAGTGCAGTTGCAGGGAACGGGACCCACCTCACAATATTTATTCTTAACTGCTTGCTCTGCAGAGGATGGTCTTGTTGCTGACACTTACAGATAATGAGAGAAGCAGCTTATCCCAAGGGAATGATTATAATTATTCGCTCATGGTCTAAAACTTGGCCTTCACTTCTGGTGTTACTCTGGAATTGCAGTCTAACGTTCAGCAATGTAACAAATGGATGATGCCACCATGGAGGCCAGTTATTTGTTGTGACCACAGATAACAGGGTGAACATTAAATTGAATTTTAAAATAAAGAGAGTCCATCTGCTCCCCTTCTCCTCAGCAACACTTCCAAAGCCTACTTGCAAACTCCTGTGTGATGACTCCAAAAATGCTACAACATGGTATCTTTGCTCTTGCTCATAAAAATAGATTTATCAAAATTATCATGTGGCACTATTACTACAACCGCATCCTACATGAGGAGGACCACTGTAAGTAGGACACAGAGGAAGAAATCTCACTTACAGTTTCAGCTGTGGTATCTGTCTCACACAGTCAACACTTTAACTCCAGAAGGCAGCGTATGTTCAAAAGCCAAGAGCATGTTCTTTCCTCTCCCATTAGAGACTTGCACAGAAATACCAGGGAAAGGTTTTAGCATTTTGGATTACAATTCTCAATGTAAAAGGGCTACGGTATCTAGGTCAGAGCATTTGAATGAGACAAGAAAGTCTGATGAAAAAATTCAGTCCTTTTTAACATGTAATGTTGGTACTTCAGAGAACAAAATACAGGAATGATCACAAAAATTGAACTAGGTCAGCAACATCTTTTTTCCTCTCAAAGACTCTTGAGTGTTGCCAGCTGGAAACTTGGGCTACGTTATGCTACAGCAACTGCAGAATAATTTTGTAGCCTGTAATCATGTCTTAACTCTCACCCTGGTTTTAGAGGTATTCTAATGTACTATGACAGCAGCCACAGAACGTATTTTGGTGGTATTTTTGACAGCTAATTAGCATATTTCACTACTGTATTGAGTTTTACACTGTGTTGCATAAAGTTCATTTCACAAGCTTAGGAGAAAAGTGTATTCTCTTCACTGACCTGTATGCTGCACTGGGAAAACATTTGCAGGATTCTCTAGGTATACTATTAACAGTAATGGTACTTATGTGTTTTGGTTTTTCTTTCTCATGTTTCTATATGCATGGATAAAATATAAAATAAGACAGATTGCTAATGTGCTAACTAAAGAAACACAAAAATCAATATTATTTTCATGTTGGATCCCAGAAGCAGGTTTTCAAAGGCACAAATCTCAGGGTTGCCTAAATCCCATGGAAATTCACTTATGACACATTTATGCCTTTGAAAATTTGCAGCTTTAGATTACAAAAGACCAGAATCAAACCTAAAGGCTTTGATCCTAATACCATTTTTACACAGCCAGCAAAGATATGCAGTTGTTCAAAGAAGACATCTACTTATTACAGAGTGTGTTCAGATCATAAAAATGCATTCACTCAATTCATAACAGAAAGTACTTAAGGACCCGCATTATTTCATGCATAGGAATAAACTCGCTAGAGAAATTGCAAGTGAAAGGAAGTACAAGTGTGGGAGGTACACAAGCTTTGAGGACCCTGATATCTTGTATAGCAAGGTTTGAATACCACTTAAGGGCTTTATTAGCATAAGTTACCATCATTTCACAGAGGTCAATGGAGTTATATCTATGTATGCCATCGTGGCCCTCTATTATCACCTAGAAAGAAAGAAAAATCTAGCCCAAACCTTACAGATGAACAGATCTTAGTAGGTTTAAGATTCAGACCTGTGAGTAACAACAGCAAGCTCCACAATATAGCATTTTTTCTCATTGTTTCCAAATCTACTTGGAAGATTGATTGATAAAATTGTGTGAAATAAACCATCAAACTGCTAAGGTGGCTTTTGAGAAAAGGAACAGATTGTTATCACAGTTATTCATGTCTATCAGTGCAGTCCCTTGAACCCAAAATGTTGACTTTTGTTAATAGGTGTCATGAATGCAAACAGGTTCTAGCACACACAGCCAGAAGAGAAGTATTTACAGAATATCTAACACCCACCCCAAAACATCCATGCAGAAAAAAACCCAGGATCTTAGATTGGAATACTATGTTAGCTTTGCCTCAGCCCTAAAATACATCCCCTCTGGTCCTGGAGCTGACAGTAGCTGTGGGGTCAGCTGCACCTTCTGAGGAGCGAAGAGTGTGATGCACTGGGGAGGAAGAGCTGCAGCAGGCAGGGGGAGGCAGCTCCCTCCCTTCACCATGGAAATGCACACACGCCCTATCATGCACTTGGCAGTAATGTCCTGACCTGTGGTTCACGTAACTACAGTCATCTCAGAAGAAACAGAGAAAAAGAAATAAGGCTTAAAAACTGACCTGTTTTTCATTTTCATCCTCCAGCCTCAGCCTGTCCTCAATGCAGTTCCTGGCCTGAAGGAATGCCTTCCTCTGAGCCCTTTCAGTCAAAATCCTCACAAAGACCCCATACAAATTTACACTGACAAAAAGGATTGCATTGGCCACAAGCTGTAAGAAAGAAAGAAAAATAAATGAATATTTTAAAATACAGATTTTTATTTTACATTTCTACTTGGCAAAATTTTTTAAAAAAAGGCAAAAAAAAAGCACTGTCTTTAAAAATTCTGCTTCACTAGCCATGTCAATGATACCCCTTCCCACAACCCAAATGCAGTGAAACAATTATAGCAGCTACCACAAGTCTGGGCAAGCAATATTGCATAACACAGAACTTCACATCTGCTGAAGTTAATTTCTTTTACAATGATCTGTAAGCTTATGACTTTCATTCAGCATTGGTTCTTTCATCAGCCCATTGGCAGATCTGTCCATCTAATAAGAACAGTATCTTCAGCATTTGTTCAATTGCAAGATGCCTGGAACACTGAAATTATTTTTCAATGCCTTCATAAAGTAAGAATATTATTGTCCCTTTTTTATAGTCGAGAAGCAAGGAAGTGACAAAATCTGTGACTAAATCAAAACGTGTGGCTGGGTACCCCAAGCTTTGATATTGTGCAGTTTGCACTTGGAAAATCTGCTTCTCTTCCCATATCTATACTGTTAGCAACCATACTGTATTTTTTGAGAAATCATCCAAAATATTGTTGATGCTATCCTGCAGCAGACTTCTCAGAAGGTGCTGAGTGCTTTCAAATGATGGCCCTTGGCACAAAACAAGCACCACTGCAATGCTATAAGCAGGGACAATTAATTACTTTGGAATTACTTCTGTGAACAGTGCTTTAATGAAGAACAGAAAAATGACCCAATTGCCCTTCTGGGTTTTTTTAATGTTTTTACAGTGTGTGATAAAGTTAGTTAACTAACCTAAATAACTCAACAGTGGTTTGCACACAACCTCCTTATTTAAGACAATCCTGTCCAAGTTTCTCACTGCATCTCTGATGTCTGAAACATGTCTTCAGATGGGAAATTCTGCAATGCAATGCATTGCTTGTTTAGAAAGGAGGCAGTAAGGCCTGTTTACCCAGTATCTTTTCAGTCTCATTCTCTGTATTTACTCTAGTTACTACCACAGCGTGATGATAAGGATTCACAGGACTCACAAATTCCAAAAAGTCAGAAATCAGCTCGCACATAAATTGGACAAGACTGGGTGTAGTAAGAGCCAAGAAAGACATTACAGCAAGTAACACAATTAATGTTAAATTCCTATGCACCTAAAATAGTTCATCAAGACTACATAACTGACATTTGTTTCTTAATTCAAGGTATACATTTCAAGCTAGTACATGTCTACTGTTGCATGATCTGCTGGAGTAAATTGAAGAGACCACTCCCCTTGTTTGCACCGTGTAGTAAGTCCAGCTGTGCCAACAACACAATTTTTAAGAAAAATAAAACCACTGATATAATCATAGAGGATGCTTACTGACTAACGGGCCTAGGGTTGAAGGCTTGAATTCAGCCAATATGGTAAGCAAAGATCCAAAATGACATCCAGAAACTCCCTGCTGATTTTGGAGAGCCTTTGGAAAATGTTTCACCCTACAAAAATAAGAAGGAAGTTTCTGATGTGATTAACTAATGGCAGTATACATCTCCAACCCCTGTGATCTCAGTATAGTGGGGAGAATTGAAAGCTTCATTCTGGGTGGGTTCTCCAGACTTTCACAGATTCACAAATCCTCTTTTACCTTCATACCTGGTTGTAATTAGTTAACAAGACGTCAACAACAACTTCTCTGCAAACATTCTCACCAGTGCAAAATCAGAAAAAATACCCTGTGACAATAAAGGGAGCTGTACCTAGCCTTAGTGTTTTCTTTCTCCTCAGATACCCAAAAAGAAACAGTTATTTCACAAGATCTAACACCAGTGAAGAATGGTGTTACAGCTTCCTCCTGAGAACTGCAAAATGCGGGTTCCAGTGTCATTAGTCAGATGAATTTCAACCTAAGAATCTCATATACCAGTTACTTACATGTCACTTCTCAGAGATGGTAATACAGATGGTAAAACTTCGAAGATGAAAAGCAGTACACGAGCATATTATTTCATGATACAGGCTGAGCATAAACAGTCTGCAATTCCTATCCTGCTTTATTTTGCTTCATCAGAGAGAACTGCTTGAGGTTTATCAATTTTCAGCACAAGTTAAAGCCTACTAAAATGAAATTAATGTAGGAATTCCAGTAGAATCCTATTTTTAGACATGAATGTGGCCACACTCACCTTATAGCTGCATTTTATCGTGCTGAAGTGTAGTGACAGCAGTGTATTTTAAAGCTAATTCTGAGAAGTGCAAAGGAATAAAAATAGAAAGGATTTGTAAAGGCCGTATTCGAAGTTAGCAGAGAGAGCCCACAGAATAAACAGTCAAGACAGTTACAGCCAGCGCAACTGCTTGACCCTGTCCATATACAAAACAGCTGTTAATAATACAGGGTGAAAAACGAATACTGTCGTTATGCACTGATATCAGAGTGGCCCAAGACATGAATAATTACTTCTAGAGAGAATAAAAAACCCCATCAACTCAGTTTCTGGTCTTCAACTGGAAGCAGTAAAAGACCATCTATTGTAACAATCTGCCAGCTGTTCTGGGACTATCATTACGATTTCACTCAAGCAACGGTGATCACCTGGACTGGGGGTAACCAGTAGGTGGGTTCCTGCAATCATGCAGCCACTTTCAGACTCAGCAGGGTAAGTCATTTTCCGACATGCTTTGAACAGTTTAAGATAAAACAGAGGCTTAGCTGTCAGCTCTGGCCTGCAGGGAATCAGGAAAGTGATAAAGCAAGTAAAAGATTCATGGATTTCAAAATGTGAGAAAAGAAAGTAGGGCAGCTTGTCTCCTGAGGTAAGAGTTCCTTTCCTCCACAACCCGCTTTCTGCTTAATTACTATTTTTTCCCCAACTGCAAGCTACATACTTCTGTCTCTCTCTAGGTTTCTCAAATGCATGCCATTTCCTGGTCCCTTACATTTTAATATGTAAATATGTACCTCTATATGTACACACTTACATACATATGTAACTTACACACTTTATGTGCTGTAACTCCAGGAAAGATTGAGAGACTTGCTGTTAAAACTAAGGATCTTTGAAGAGGTACTGAGGCATGCAGAACTGCTGAAATATCAAGGTATTTAATTTTAAATCATTACGACATTACTCACTATAGTACTGCATGGTAGCAAAAAGAGCGCTTTTCAGGTTTCACCATCACCTTTTATTTACAGAACTACCAAAGAAACAATTTACTTAATGCAACACAAAGTGACTCAAAGACATTTTTATGCTGCAACCTCTTTCAAACAATGTTATCCTCTCATTTCATAATGAGATTACAGGTCAGCCAAAATAAAAAAAAGGGCAATCAGGGTCATGAAAGCCTTTTTAATTTTTTTTTTTATTGTTGTCACTGAATCTTGTATTGTGCATTCTGCATATCTGCTGCACTTCAATACCAACATCCTGAGCTTTAAGCTTCTCTGCTCCTTAGGAGGGTACATGTTCTCTCACTGGATGAACTCCGGCATGGTTCCTTGTGGGGGCTCTAGGGAGCCTTCCCGAAGGCAGACTTCCAACACAGACAGCTAGTTCTTGTGGGCTGCCTAGTCGCTGAAGAGGGACTGGCAGCTCCAGCAGGTATTTCAACGAAATTTCTGTCTCCTGTTTTTATCTCCATTGACTTTCTTGGGTCTTAAGTTCGTTTTGGTAGGCCACTCAAACTGCGCAATACAGCAACACCCATCAAGGAGTGAGCAAATAATTCTGGAGGTAAGAAGCATGTTAACATGCACATATGTACACGGGGCTTGAGGAGTTCAATTAAAGATCTCCCTTTTTTTCCCCCAGAAGCATCTCCCACTTCTTGAGTGACCCTTGGGATTAGTTGAGAGACTCTTGAAGAGTCTCTCAAAACTTTTATCTCTAGTGCAGATAGGATTTATTCTCCACTTCTTTTTCCTTCAAAGCAAGGATCCTCGTGTATGCATTCATGCATGCACTTGCTCTCTCTCAAACAAATGGTGAAAAATTCTTTGACGTGTTGTTATTTGCCTTTTGAGAGGACTCTGCTTACTCAGCAGACTAATTTTGCTATCAGGTAAACAGTTGCATAGCAGATGGTACAAACCTGAGGCTGGTTTTCATTGTGCAGTAGCTTTCTGTTTCTCACAAAATTGCCTCATAGAAAAATGTGGCTATTTCACAAAGGTGTAGATGACTTCTGGATCACTCAAAGACTTTTTTACAAAATGGCATTCATGTGGATGGATATTGAACTACCCAAATAAAGTACACTAAATGAGAAATATAAATTACCAGGGAAGAAAACTTCAGGAGACTCCCTCAGAATGTCATTGTGCTTTCTAAAAGCTGGGCTTGTGGTGTGAATGGGACTGAGAAGGGATTTCATTAGTTACCACTCTCAGGATTATAATTTAGTGGTTAATATCAATATTCCATTTATTCTCAGCAGCATGAGTTCTCACAATATCCCAGGAAGCAGAGCAGAATACATAGGAAATGTGGCTAGCATTTCCAGGTGAAGGTTGAAATCTGCAGAAAAGACAAGACCAATGTGGTTCCTGTATGTCTTAACCCTCAGCTACCTGATAAGATAAGAGGTATGGAGGGCCTGAATTCTACTTCCAGTTTTCTGTTCATTGAATGTACTGCAAGTAATTTCTATGCCACTATTGTTGTTCCTATTATGCTGACAATGTAACATTTACTCATTCTGTCAAAATACTTTGAGATATGGCAATGAAATGCATTATTGTAAAATACAAATGTCTATTGTGAGGCATGCCTCTAAGGAAAGAGTCATGAACAGCTCACCAAAATGAGTCAGTGCTTCCACCATTAAAACTGTTAAGAGCAAGGCAAGACTGTGCTGTTTATGAAAACTGTTGATACCACGAACAAGACCTTTTACAAGTTTAAACAAAAATAGTTTCTTTTTGCTGCTGTGGAAAATGTTACCATTAGAGCAGTGCTTTATTTACAGAACAAGACTGCATAAAAGAGAATGAACAATTACGTCTTGATCCTGACATGCTTATTTTGAGTTTAGTAATTCACTTAATCAACTCACTTTGCAACCTTTTGAGAACACTTAATTACTACATCTATTCCATTTGCTGAAGTAGTGTAAACACAGGAGCAGAGAACTTCTCCTTAGTTACTGACTGTGTCCCAAAAAGCACACCCTCCTACCAGAGAAGGCAGCCAAACAAATTTTCTCCAGATTAAATAAAAGTATTCCCATTTCGAATAAACATCCCTCTCATTTTTGTTAGTTTTTGTCCTAAATGGTTTATGCCACATACTAAGAAAATATTGTTCTGCTGTGCTATTCTGCATGGTTTCCGTCTTCATTCGTGCCCCTCCTGAATCTACAGCATAGTCTAAGAGGGGATTAGTAACTAGTTATTTCAGTGGTAATGTGTAGAATGAAAGCAAATGTCACTCTTCAGGAAAAGACAGTAGCACTGAGGTGTCTATAACCATACAAGTGAAGACAGATTTTAGGCTATCTAGAATGCTATGTCCATTAACCACAGCCATTTTTTTTTGAAGTGTACATGCACAATGTGTCTCTCCCTCTGTATACATGTTTGACCAAAGTACAAGACACAATTTATAACCACTGTTTAAAATACATGTCATGGTTTAAGCCCAGCCAGCAGCTAAGCACCACGTAACCACTTGCTCGCTCCTTCCCCACTCCTCTAGTGGGATGGGGAGAGAATAGGAAGAGTAAAAGTGAGAAAACTCATGGGTTGAGATAAGGACAGTTTAATACGACAACACACCAAGAGAAGAAATAATAATAACAATAATACTAAAAAGAGAATATATAAAGTAAATGATGCACAATACAATTGCTCACCTCCTAGAACCCAATGCTCAGCCCACCCCCAAGCCACGATCCCCCCTCCCTGGGCCACCTCCCCCAGTTATATACTGAGCATGATGTCATATGGTAACGAATATCCCCTTGGCCAGTTCAGGTCAGCTGTCCTGGCTGTGTCCCCTCACAGCTTCTTGTGAAAATTAACTCTATCCCAACCGAACCCAGGACATTATCCACACCTTATTCTATACCATCTGTGTCATGCCCAGATCCTACACTTTCCAATTAATCACCACCACTTTCCCTATCTTTGACATAGGTATATATACACACACAGAGATATATATGTACACATACCTATACACACACACAGATACCATTCCCTTAGTCTATGGGCCATCCCTCTAACATGTTCGTTGAGTTCATTTAATCCATGACTTTGGCGCTCCATCTGTCATAACAGTCCTTCAGGGTAGGAGAGATTGTGTGTGGTGTTGGACTGTTGCATGCTGCCTCCAGAGCTCATGGCTGGTGTGTTTGGTGCAGCCCATGTCCACGGTGTGTGTGCTGAAGATGTCGATTTGGAGGAAGTTGCTGGGTGCCAGCTGCTGAAGCCAGTTCAAGTTCCATCACCGCTGCACTTTGCCTGATTTTCATGAAAGTCCATCCTTCGTTGATTTGGGTGATTCTTACTGTAATACCACTGATATGGCATATAGTAACTGTAGTAGTGATGACATACAGTGGCAGGGTTACTTAGCAATTAACATCATACAATTTAATTCACTGGCTATTCTCACCCAAAATCAAATCCCCTTGAGGCACACATTGAACTTCCCCATCTTTCCGCATCACCCACCAAATGCACGCAGGTCCTTCAGCAAAAGCAATCCCGTGGGTGGGTTTGCCTTTGCCCGAGGCAGGAGTAACCCAGACTGTCTTCCCTAACATATTCTTCATGTGCACTACGGGGACTTTATCCCCTTCTACAGTACATGGAAGTTTTGACTGGGCAGGGCCAGCTCGATTAACCCATCCTCTAGTGTTGAACTAACCAGGTGGCTTTTGCTAAATGTGTATCCCAATGTTTGAAGGTCCCACCCCCCATTGCTCTCAGTGTAGTTTTCAGCAGTCCATTCTATCGTTCAATTTTCCCAGAGGCTGGTGCATGATAGGGGATATGATACACCCACTCAATGCCGTGCTCTTTGGCCCAGGTGTCTATGAGGTTGTTTCGGAAATGAGTCCCATTGTCTGACTCAATTCTTTCTGGGGTGCCATGTCGCCACAAGACCTGCTTCTCAAGGCCCAGGATAGTGTTCCGGGCAGTGGCACGGGATGTGTTTCCAGCCATCTGGTGGTTGTTTCCACCATTGTAAGCACATAGCGCTTGCCTTGGCGAGTTTGTGGGTGTGTGATATAGTCAATCTGCCAGGCTTCCCCAAATTTATATTTCAGCCATCGCCCTCCATACCACAGGGGCTTTAACCGCTTGGCTTGCTTAATTGCAGCACATGTTTCACATTCATGGATAACCTGCGCGATAGTGTCCATGGTCAAGTCCACCCCTCAATCTCGAGCCCATCTATATGTTGCATCTCTTCCCTGATGGCCTGAAGTATCATGGGCCCATCGAGCCATAAATAGCTCACCCTTATGTTGCCAGTCCAGGTCCACCTGAGACACTTCAATCTTGGCAGCCTGATCCACCTGTTCGTTGTTTCGATGTTCTTCAGTGGCCCGACCCTTGGGTACATGAGCATATACATGATGTACTTTTACAACCAGCTTCTTTAGCTGGGCAGCAATATCTTGCCACAATGGGGCAGCCCAGATGGGTTTACTTCTGCGCTGCCAGTTGCTCTGCTTCCATTGCTGTAACCACCCCCATAGGGCATTTGCCACCATCCACGAGTCAGTATGAAGATAGAGCACTGGCCACTTTTCTCAATCAGCAATATCTAAAGCCAGCTGGATGGCTTTCACTTCTGCAAAGTAGCTCAATTCACCCTCTCTTTCAACAGCTTCTGTGACTTATATAGGACTCCATACAGCAGCCTTCCACCTCTGATGTTGTCCCACAGTGTGACAAGACCCATCAGTGAACAGGGCATATTGCTTCTCATTTTCTGACAGTCTATTATACAGTGGGCCCCTTCAGCACGTCACCTCCTCCTCTAGGGATACTCTGAAATCTTTGCCTTCTGGCCAGTCCCTGATCACTTCCAAAATTCCTGGGCGATTGGGGTTTCGTATGTGAGCTCGTGTGATCAGTGCAACCCCCTTATTCCACATGGCATCAGTTGTGTGATGTGTAGAGGAGACCCTCCCTTTGAACATCCAGCCCAGCACCAGCAGTTGGGGTGCTAAGAGAAGCTGTGTTTCAATACCAACCACTTACAAGGCAGCTCAAACTCCTTCATATGCTGCCAATATCTCTTTCAGTTGGAGTATAGCGAACCTTGGATCCTCTGCATCCCTGACCCCAAAACCCCAGGGGTCGGCCTCAGGTCTCCCCAGGTGCTTTCTGCCAGAGGGTCCAAGTAGGGCCATTCTCTCCAGCTCTGGTGTAGATATCTTGTCCTGCCCGTACTGGTCCAAGGGCTACTGCATGAACAATCTCCCGCTTAATTTGGTCAAAGGCTTGTCATTGTCAGGGCCCCATTTAAAATCATT